AAAGAAAGAAAGAAAGAAAGAAAGAAAGAAAGAAAGAAAGAAAGAAAGAAAGAAAGAAAGAAAGAAAGAAAGAAAGAAAGAAAGAAAGAAAGAAAAACATAATGGAAAGGAAGAGCAACTTATAAACCTACCAGCCTGGGTTTTAGTTGTTGTTGTTGTTGTTGTGTGTGTGTGTGTGTGTGTGTGTGTGTGTGAACTTGCCCCCATATGGGCACACAAGGAGGCCAGAGGTTGTACTCAGAATGCACTCATTCATCAATCATCTCTCCATCTTATTTTTGTTTTCTTTTGAAACAGGGTCTATATAGCACTGGCTGTCCTGTAACTCGCTTTGTAGCCCAGGCTGGCCTCAAACTCACAGAGAACTGCCTGCCTCTGCCTCTGAGTGCAGGGATTAAAGGCGTGCGCTGCCATGCCCACCTGTTTGTTTAGTTCTTTATTTTTGAGGCGGTCTTTTACTGCACTGGACATTCCAGCTAGGCTGGCTGGCCAGCCAGCTCCTGGGATCTGCAGTGGGATCTCTTCACCCCAGTATTGGAGTCATAAGCAAGCACTGCACGACCCAGTTTTCTGTGACGTTGGTGCTGGGGACCAGAACTAGGTCCTCACATTGGCAGTGAGCACTTTACCTGCTGAGCCAGCTCCCCAGCCTCCAGGCCTGGTTTGTTTGGTTTTTTCGAGACAGGGTTTCTCTGTGCAGTTTTTGGTGCCTGTCCTGGATCTCTCTGCCTCTGCCTCCCGAGTGCTAGGATTAAAGGTGTGCGCCACCACCGCCTGGCCGTTTCTTGAGACTCTTTGAAATGTCATTTCTATGGTGCATAAAGCCTTTTGTTGGTGTACGGCTGGCTGTAAGAGCAGCATAAGTAACAGTGGCCACTGTGTAACTGGATAGAGGGCTGCTGTACGCAGAAAGGAAGACTGTTCTTTCATGTCATCCACACAATGATTACATGAGGAATTTATTCTTCTTTTTAGGGTGGCAGGGGGTACTGAGATAGGGTCTTAAAATGTCACCCTGGCTGGTCTGGAAGTTGTTTTGTAGATCAATGTGGCTTCAAGCCTGTGGCGGTTTTCCTCCTGCCACCCGAGAGTTTGTGTGTTACCGGCATTGTTAACCTGTGACCAGCTGCCAGCTACCTTCTACAATGAGTCAACAGCCTCAGAATATGCTATGCGCCTTCCTCAGGGTCAAAGTGCTGGTGAGTGGCAGAGCTGAAATCAAAGCCTGCATTTGGTGATTCTGGGCACTGAGTTCTCTTGGGCCTGCCCTAACACTGACTGATGCTATGCTGCATCAGTCCAGCTGTTTCTCCAAGGACTCTTGGTCCTTCGGGAGTGACTCAGTATCCTCGGGTGAAGTATCCCAATCACCATGTTACCTTGAGAGTCCTCAGGGGGCTTGAAGAGAGCTTTGGCCTCGTCCACACTGCCTTCAATGGCCACCGACAGCGTCTTATCTGGAGGTGAGGAAGAGCCTCTTGGGAACGCTGCTGCGGGCTGCTCAGTGGAAGCCACCTCCACAGCTGTGCTTCTCCAAGACCCGCCCCCGTTCGTGCGGACTGAGGGGCGCACTCACTCCACACAGGAAGAGACAGAACTAAAAGCTTCCCTCCATGCTTTGCTAAGAACAAATACTCCCAAGTGCTGCTTCCCAGCTAGGCATCCCTGAGACAGGTGCAATGCCCAGGACCCCAAACCCTGGGTTTGTCACCCCAAAGGACTCTTCCACCAGCTGTCCTAAAAGTTCTCTCCCAGAAGCCCACACCCAGCCCCACCCCAGAGATGACGGGTGACTCTAAAAAGTTCTGTGTGCTGCAGTCACCGAGCACCTGGTCAGCGCTGTCTCATTTCCCTGGGCAGCGGAGAAGAGTAGGTAAGAGCATGGATGCTGCAGCCTGCTCCCAGACCTGATTCCCATGCCACTCATTACTGAATTTGTGACCTGGAGATACCTGACTGATCTGAGGCTCAGTTTCTAGCTAAAAATGGAGACTTGGAGACAGCAACTGTTGGTTGAGCGGCAGTTAAATTTTAGTTACTTCAGTTTTGGTGTGAGGAATGTAACACAGAAGAGCACACAGTTAACACTCATAAGGCTGTGGCTTTGACCCCCAGCACCACAAAAGAAACAAGTAAATACATTCTGAAGTCTCATGACAACCGTCTAGGGGCATACTATTCTTAGAGACATTTAGAGAAATCTAATGCTCAGTGAAGTCAGAAACCACACTCAGGAACAGCCACAGCAGAGTCCTCTCCAGGTTGATTCCCTTGGGCTTGGCTCTCAAGCACTCAGTTAACAATCTGTTCCACACACTTCGCCTGACGTGGACTCCAGGATCCTACTGCTATGAGCAATAAGCCTCACTCTACCTCCTCTGTCCTTGTTTCCCCTGATGGTAGTAGGGACGGAATATAGGGCTTAAGCTACACTCCAGCTCCCCCTCCTCTATCTTAAGGGTAAGAATGTCACTGAACCCTGATACCATTTGCCCAGCTACACTATAAAGGAAGGCAAACCTCCCCCCATAGCCAACTTCTGCGTTATATCTGGAATTAATACACAAAGCAGCCCAGCCCAGGCCTAACAAGCTGGTTACCCCCACGTGAGCACTGGAGACCGTCTTGGGGATCAAACTCATCCTCCACATGGTAGACGATCACTCTACCACAGAGCCACACTCCTTACCTACAATATTCTTTTTAATAGTTTAGTCTTGAATTCTACAGGAAAACAGAAGTGGAAACGGAAGAACTTTAAACACAAAAGAAAGTTACTCACCCTGTCTAGGGGGCTGGGAGGAGGATTTCATATGAGCTGATGATGGCAACGGAAGAGAACAAAGGGGAAGGAGAGGACGAGACGGACCAAGAAGACACAAGAAAAGACACAGTAATGTCTTGGTGCCATGGCTGGGACAGGGGCATGCACGGGGACAGTCTCTGTCTTTCTGATGCCATGGGGTAAAGTGTGAACAAGGAAGAGAAGCTTAGTGCTAAGTGGAAGCTGCACTGGAGCACATCAAAAACCTTGCTAAGACCTTCGCAGAGTTCGCGGGCTGTCCTGAGCACACTGGGGGTGCATCCTGCCACCTGGCAATTCACCAGAAAGTCATGCAGGCTGAGCCTGGGCATGGGAGAGCCTGGGAGTGCTGCCTAGGACCTGAATTCACCAAGCACCCCACCCCCAAACCACAAAGGAGACACTGATCCACCTGCCAATTATATCTTGATGGAGGGAGCACCTGAGAGCCTACACAGGCTGCCTGGGCGCTGTACCGAGGAGCTACACAGCCAGGTTCAGAAAGATTCAAAGCCAACCACTCCGAAATGCCCATCCCATGAGTCAAGCCTCAAGCTAGCTGGTTCAAGGAGCAAGGGGAGGCAGCATCTGCCACCTGAGGGCTCCTGGGCAAAGCTGGGGAATTCTCCTGGGCAGGCAGTTCTTCCTCCCTATGGCTCCTTCTCCCACAGCCCCTCCCGGCCCAGCCCCCTCCCTCACTCACCGCAGGCCTGCCCGTACGCAGTGGCCTGCACGAAGAGCACGTAGAGGGGAGGCGGCAGGTGCCTGGCTGTCTCATATTGCTTGTGAGCCTGGTCAAAGGGCATGAACAGGTATTCCTGCACCGGGAGGGAAGCCTGCAAGCAACAAAGGCACGTCTCAGTCTACCACACGGGCGCTTGTGATCGCTTCGCTTGCTGTTTGTTTGCTTGCTTTGTTTTGTTTTGTTTTGCTTTTGAGACAGGGTTTCTCTGTGTAACAGCCCTGGCTGTCCTGGAACCCACTGTGTAGACCAGGCTGGCCTTGAACTCACAGAGATCCGCCTGCCTCTGTCCCCGCCCCCACCCCCCACCCCCCACCCCCCAGTGCTGGGATTAAGGATTCAGGATGCAGAGACAAGCAGATCTGAGTTTGAGGCCAGCCTGCCCTACACTGGGAGTTCCAGAATAGCCAGGGCTATGCAGAGAGGTAGAGAGAGACCCTCTCTCTTTTTTTTTTCCCCCGTGGCTGAGGCCCAAACCCAGGGCCTTGTGCTTGTTAGGCAAGCAATTTACCACTGAGCTAAATGCCCAACCCCCTTGAGACCCTCTCTCAAAAGAGAAAGAAAAAAAAAAAGAAAGAAAGAGAAACAAAGAAAGGGGAAAAAAGATAAAATGTATATTCAAGTTTATTTTATGAAACAAAGCCATTCAGTTGGCAATATAACTGTTAATAGTTTGGTATGACTCCAAGTTTTTTACTAAGTACACACAAAACTCATGCATATATATATATATATATATATATATATATATATATAAAATCTCCATATAGACACACCACAAACCAAAGCACACAAGTGAAATTATACTATGTTTGTTTAGTAATAGATCTTTTTATCTAGTTGTCCCATGAGTGGTATGCTCTACACGGCCTATCAGGCAGTAAGGTGGCACTACACATAACACAGAGCAATGCAGAGGGCCTGGAGTGCTAAACACAACCGGAACTGCTAATTCCCAGTCTCATCTTCTCTCTCCCTGCTCTCCCTTCATCGCCATCTCTTCCTTCTCTCTTTGTGTTGTTTGTTTGAGACAGAGTCTCACTATGTAGACCAGGCTAGTCTGGAACTTCTATGTAGACCAGGCTGGCCTCAAGGCATGCACCACCACACTCAGCTTGTTGGTTCTTTGAGAAATAGTCCTGCAATGTAGTCTAAGTAGCCTGAGTCTGCTCTTTATTCATCCCCAGCTGGCCTCAAATTCAGTCTTCCTGCCTCAACTTCCCAGGTCCATTAGCAGCCCAGCTTCATGTTCTTTTTCTCCTATTATCAAGTTTTACTAGAAAAATACATTTTTGTTAACAACTCTTATTCCATGTCTAGGAAGGGAAGATGGGCAGACCTTGCCAAGTCCTAGAAAAATGGATTTATAATTTCTCTAGTTCCTCTTTATTAGCCATTTATCTTTCTTCATAAAACTAAAGGATTTAGACCAAATCTGGCATCACAAGCAAACAAAAATCAGGTCATATATACAAACTTGAGTGTGTGTGTGTGTGTGTGTGTGTGTGTGTGTGTGTGTGTGTGTGTGTGTGTGTACATACACATTTTATAGATAGACAGAGAAGGAAAGAGAGGAAGGGAGGAGGAGGAGAGAGAGAGAGAGATTCTACATGGGTAAAGTGGAAGCTCTTCAAAGTGAGACAAGTTCTTTCAGAGAGTGATCTACTTCTTCACCATCAGCCCCTGAGGTGGCTAGGGAGCCTACCAGCTGTTCTCAGGAAAGGAAGCAAGTTTAAATGCCTAGGGACAGCAGGCTGGTGAGGAGCATGCAGGGGAGGGGTGGGCCGAACTTAACAGATCTGAGTCATGTTACCGGAAAGCTATGATAAACAGCAGTCAGGCACGTGTGCGGATGCTCCAGAGCCAGGGGCCCAGTACTCCTTTACTCCAGAACAGAGCTCGTCCTTCCCAGGAAAGCACCCCCAGTGTAACCGGACCAGGATGGGGAGGCCCCGTGGCCTCCGGTCTGTGGTGAAGGCACAGCCACGCTCACCTGCATGATGCTGTTGAGACGAGGCTGCAGGCTGCTCAGATACTCCTTCTTCACCTCAATCTCCTTCAGGATCTTCTCCTTGTTGGAGAGACATTCTCGGTACTTCTCTGCCAGCCTACAGGGGCACACAGGGCACTGTCACGAAAGCCTTGCAGGGATACCTCAACATACCTGCTCACTCCCGCACTCTACCTGGAACAGCTGTGACAATTCTAATGACAACCAGTGCTCACTATGTGCCAAGTCCTTTGGTGCATTCCATACAAGCACTACCATACTTAGTGACCGCATAAATCCTCCAATACGTGGACTTAAACATTTTTATTACATGTATGTATTGTGTACGTGGGCAGGGAGAGGGTGCATGTATTATGGCATGCATGTGAAGGGCAGAGAACAACTGCCCCACCATGGTTTTCTGGGGATCAAACTCAAGCTGTCAGGCTTGGCAGCAATCATCACTGAGCTACATCATTTGCCCTTTACTTGAAACAAGGTCGAGCTAGCCTATGAACGCTTGACAAGCTTCCTGCATCAGTCTTCCAAGTGACGAGATTACAAAAGGGCCACCATTCACAGACGACAGACATTTCCTTTTCTTTTCCTTCCCTTTCCTTATTTCTCATTGAGACAGGGTTTCACCAAGTTATACATGTTAACTTTTGTCTTAGTTAGCGTTTCTAGTGCTGTTTCTAGTGCAGCAAGACCACAAGTAACCCAAGGAGGAAAGGGTTACTTCATCTTACAGTTCTGGGGAGTCAGGGCAGGACCTCAAGGCAAGAGCCTGGAGGCCCGAACTGAAAAGGCCATGGAGGAATGCTACTTACTGGCTGGTTCCTCATGGTTTGCTCAGTTTGTTTTCTTCTTTCTTTGTTGTTTTTGTTTTTCAAGACAGGGTTTCTCAGTATAACAGCTTTGGTTGTCCTGGAACTTACTATGTAGACCAGACTGGCCTTGAACTTGAGATCCACCTGGTTCTGCCTCCTGAGTGCTGAGATTAAAGGCTTGTGCCACCACCGCCCAGCTCAGTTTGTTTTCTTATATACCCAAGGACCACCTAACTAGGGTTAGCACCCACCACAGTGGGCTGGGCCCTTCCACATAAACATTAATCAAGAAAATGCTCCCCAAGCTTGCCTATAGGCCAATCTTATGGAGGCATTTTCTCAGTTGAGGTTCTTTCCTCTCAGATGACTCTGGCTTGTGTCAAGTTGACAAAAAATTAGCCAGCATGGGGCTAGAGAGATGGCTCAGTGTATAAGAGTGCTAGCTGCTCTTCCAGAGGACCCAGGTTCAATTCTCAGAACCCACATGGCAGGTTACAACCGTCTGTAACTCCAGTTCTAGGGAGTCTGGTACCCTCACATTGGCACTGATGCACATAAAAAATAAATAAATATTTTTTTTTTCGAGACAGGGTTTCTCTGTAGTTTTGGTGCCTGTCCTGGATCTCGCTCTGTAGACCAGGCTGGCCTCGAACTCAGAGAGATCCGCCTGGCTCTGTCTCCTGAGTGCTGGGATTAAAGGAATGTGCGACTGCCACCGGCATAAATAAATATTTTTAAAAAGAAGATGTAAGTCATAAAGAAACAATATTAAAAAAAATTAGCTAGCACAACTTAGGACTCACTTTGTAGCTCAGGCTAGCCCAGCCTCCCAAGAAACTAGGACTACAGACCTATACTATCAGGCCTAGCAAGAAGATATTTTTAAAAAAGAAAGTTTGAGGATTTTTTTTTTTTTAATTCTTAAAAGCATTTATTTAGTGTGTCTGGATGCATGAGTACACATGCATAATGTATGCCCATGGAGATCAGAAGGCAACTTATGGAAGTCAATTCTCTCCTTCCACAATGTGGGTTCCAGGGACTAAACTGAGGTCCTCAGGCATGGTGGCAAGTACTTCCAGCCCAAGAAGAGCCTGTTCTTTTTAAAACAGTCTCATGTAGTCTAGGCTAACCTTCAACTTCTGATCCTCCTGCCTCCATGTTCCCTAATGCTGGGATTACAGGGGTACACTGCCACACCTGATGTCATGCAGGACCAGTGTGCAAACCGAGGGCTTTGTGCACAGTAGGCAAGGACGTCATCAACTGTGCAGCACCCCATATCCAGGAAAGACTTTAATGTAGATTTAAGCAAGGGCATTTACTTCAAGACAGGTGAGAGACTTAAGGATGTTATTACACCTAATGCGGGTGCAGGTTTCTCAGGGGAGCAGCTGGACTCTGCTTATCCCACAACTTGCCCCAAGTGATTCATTCAGCTCAGTTACTCATCCATGAATCCACGCCTATGCCTCTTGAGAGGTTTTGCCCATGAGCACTGGGGGGTACTTCCCTGTTGTCTCTGCACCACATGCTACCTGAGAGGCTAGACCCCAGCTTTCCACATATCAGAGGAGGCAACTACATGAGGCAACGAGACCCACACACTTTGGGAGTGGAGTAGGCAGGAATGGATTCTGAGTCAGACTGTACACAGCAGACAGTTAGGAGAGTGACAGGCCAGCCTACCTGAGCAAAATATTGATACAGACTCCTAAGAAGCATACACCGTGTTTACTAAATTCATAACTTGGGCCAAAGGCAAGTACAGAAACACATGTTTCTGCAATAAAAACAGCAGATGGGCCAATAAAAAGCCCTAGAAATCTCATACAAATTAAGAGTCAAGTCACCACAATAGAAGGGCTGTATCTATAGAGTACACAATGAAAAAAGCACATATGTATAGTCTCAGAAAAACATGGTTCACTGGGCGGCAGTAGTGCACATCTTTAATCCCAGCACTCGGGAGGCAGAGCCAGGAGCACCTCTGGGAGTTCGAGGGCAGCCTGGTCTACAGAGCAAGATCCAGGACAGGCACCAAAACTACACAGAGAAACCCTGACTGGAAAAATCAAAATGAAAGAAAGAAAAACATGGATCACTCTATGATTATTTAAAAAAAAAAAGTCCTAAAACAAGACAAAAAAAAAAAGTTAAAAAGTCAGGCATAGTTTCGTACCCTTTAATCCTAGCACTCAGGAGGCAGAAGCAGATAGATCTCTGAGACCAGCCTGGTCTACATAGTGAGTTCCAGGCCAGCCAAGGCTATATAGTGAGACCCTGTCTCAAAAAACAAAAACAAAAACAAAAACAAAAACAAAAACAAAAACAAAAACAAAAACAACCAACCGAACAAAAATATTAAGAAAGAAAAGTTGGCCGGATCTCTGTGAGTTTGAGGCCAGCCTGGTCTACAGAGCTAGTTCTAGGACAGTTCGGACTGTTAAACAGAGAAACCCTGTCTCTAAAAACAAACAAACAAATTAAAAAAAAAAAAAGATAAGAAAAGAAAAATAGAAAAAGAAGAGTTGAGGGTGCAAGTTAGTAACATCAGCCTCCCAAGAGGTTAAGGCAGGGGGATTCCAAATTCAAGGCTTCCTTGAGTGACAAAGTAAATGAGTTGTGAGTTTAAGGCCAGCTTGGTCGCACAGCAATGAAAACACAAACCAAACTGTAAACAGTCTGGGACGGTATGCAGCCCAGCGACAGAATACTTGCTCACATGTGTGAGGTTCTGAATGCCAAGGCCAGTACCAAAACAAAACAAAGTAACTGCAGCCCAAAAAAACACCTTGTAAGGAGCATTATTTATGAGAGTACAATATGGAAACAACCTAAAAGTCTGAAAGAGGAATGCTTTTGTGATTTTTCCATACCTAGGACTGTGGTACAACCTCCTAAACAACGTTTACAGAGCACTGTAAGACCAGCACAGGCATATGCTTACAGATGTGGAAAACAAAAATTCCCAGTTGGATCTCCGTGGCTGGGGATGTAGCTCAGTGGTAAAGCCCTTGCTTAATACTAATGAGGCCTTGGGTTGGATCCCCAGAGTTACAGGCAGAGAGCAGGGGTGTGGGTGGGAGGGAAGAAAGGAGGGAGGGGGAGAGAGAGATTGATTCCTGTTGTTTTGTTTTGTCAACTTGACACAAACCAGAGTTATCTAGGAAGAGGAACCTCGGCTGAGATAATGCCTTCATCAGCTTGGCCTGCGGGAGCGCCAGCATACTCCGGGCTGGTGGTCCTCAGTGGTATAAAGCAGGCTGAGCACGCCAAGGGGAACGTGCCAGTGCCAGCATTCCTCCAGTTAAGGACTCCAGCTTCCTGCCTGGCTTCCCTCAGTGACAGATGTGCCCTGAGAGCTGTACACTGAAAGAAACCCTTTCCTCCCCAAGTTGCTTTTGGTCACGGTGTTTTATCACAATAGAAACGCTTGCTCAAGCCTGATGATCAGAGTTCAAGTCCCAAAACCCACAGTGGAAGGAATGGACTAACACAGCTGCCTTCTGACCTCCACATGTGAGCACCGCCCCCCCCCATACACACACACTTAGGGACGAGCCCCCTGGAATACCGTAGAGGGAGTTTCTTGACTAAGTTAACCGAGGTGGGAAAACTCACTCTTTTAGAGAGTAGCGGGGCTGGACACCTGCTGCTCTGCTCTTGCAGAAGACCGGGGTTCAGTTCCAGTACCCACCCTCTTTAGCAGCTCACAGCCATTACATGGAACTCCAGTTCTGGGGCGGGGGTGGGGGGTGGGGGGGTCTGAGGCTTTCTTTTGGCCCCTGCTGGTCACACACACACACACACACACACACACAGAGTTAAAATACAGGAAAGCTTTAAAAGCGGGCGGCACCACTCCCCGGTCTTGAGTCTTACACTATGTGAGAAGAGAAAGCCCGCAGTCGGGAATGCGATGTTCTCTTCCTGACTAGGAACAACGGTGAGCGGGGATAGCCCTTTCCCTCCCGTTGCTTCTGTTAGGGGACTTGGTCACAGAAACAAGGAAAACAACTAATACAGTTACTAAACAAAGGGTCTCACTGTGACTTTCATACATATACATCATCAGACCTTGTTATGTCACCCTGCTTTCCTCCATGACTCTCCCCATAATGTCTTACTTCTCACTATAATCTGTGTGTGTGTGTGTGCGTGTGTGTGTGTGTGCACATGCACACGTATGATGTACTCATCTGTGCATGCACATGTGGAGACCAGATGTCAATCCAACTGTCTCTGTAATTCTCTGCCTACCTTTTGACACAGTGTCGCTCACTGAACCTGGAGCTCTCTGATAGGATAGGCTGGCTGTCTAGAAACTTCGTGGGATCTGCCCGTCTCTACACCCAGACTCACGCCACTTTATCCAGCTTTTTCACACGAGCTTGGGATGCAAATTCAGGTCCAAACTCTTGCACGAATACTTTACCTACTGAGCATCTGACCCATCTTACAGTGCAGTTGTTGTTTTTTTATTTCTTTGTGGTGTTGAAAATTGAGCCAAGAGCCCTGGGCATGGTGGGCAAACATCCTACCACTGAGCCCAGAAAGAGGCCAGTCAAGTTGGAATAATCCAGTGTGAATTAATAAGGACGTGGATTTGGTCCTGGAGACCATTCTGTCTAAGCCTGGGTCACGACCGAGCACTGCCCCCGGTGGTTAACGAGGTCAGGAAGGAGCAAGTACTACCTCTTCCTCTGCTCCAGCTCCCAGTCCAGACGGGCCAAGGTCTGTTGGTGAGGGTCTCCCATGGTGATTTCGGCCTTGCTGATGTTGGGTGGAGCCTCTGTATAAAATTCCTCTAAACTGACCAGATCGATTTCTTCATGCTTTGACCTATAAGCAAAAACTAAGTTATCGGGCAGCCATTTTCAGGACCCCAAATTGTGGCTTCGCGGGGCAGTTGTTCAACCCTAACCCCTAGGCAGCCCGGCCTCTAGCTACCTGAGATCGTGGAATTCCCTCAGCAAACGCTCAGTGACAGACATTTCAGTATGACGAGAGGCTATTAGTGACATACCACGAGGTCATTTGCCCATGCTGCCCAACCTATTTACCCATGGATTAGCTGAAGGCTTGAGAAGGATGCTTAATGAGTTTACAGATGTCTCCTGGCTGAACAGGAGATACACGGCTAAGAGACTCAGGATCACCATAGCCTAGGCTTATGCCGTCACGGTGAAACCGAGACATGACATGTCACTCTGGAAGAACAAACCTAAGAGTCTACACCTAACTTTAAGACATTTCTTTCTTTCTTTCTTTCTTTCTTTCTTTCTTTCTTTCTTTCTTTCTTTCTTTCTTTCTTTCTTTCTTTCTTTCTTTCTTTCTTTCTTTCTTTCTT